CTTTCTTTCTTTCTTTCTTTCTTTCTTTCTTTTCCTTTTTTTTTGAAAGAGTCTCACTCTGTTGCCCAGGCTGGAGGGCAAGTGGTGCGATCTCAGCTCACTGCAACCTCTACCTCCCAGGTTCAAGCAATTATCCTGCCTCAACCTCCCAAATAGCTGGGATTACAGGTGCACACCACCATGCCCAGCTAATTTTCGTATTTTTAGTAGAGATAGGGTTTTGCCACGTTGGCCAGGGTGGTCTCCAACTCCTGACCTCAAGTGATCCACCCACCTCAGCCTCCCAAAGTGCCAGGATTACAGGTGTAAGCCACTGCGCCCGGCTTCATTTTGTAGTTGCTATCAGTGGTTTATTGCTGAATAATATTTCACTGTATAGATTTACCATGGTTAATTTATATGTATATCTTTTGGGCTGCTTCACTTTGTGGTTATTTTGAATAGTGCTGCTACAAACATTCATGTACAACTTTTGGTATGGACACATATTTTCATTTCTGTTCGCTGTAAACCTGGGAGTAGAATTGCTGGGTCACATGATAACTCTATAATTAACTATTTGAGGAATTGTCAAAGTGTCTTTCAAAATGACTGCATCATTTATTTCCATCAACAACATATGAGGATTCCAATTTTTGTACATCATTGCCAACACTTATTATTTTTATTATAGCTATCCTAGTGGATGTGAAGTGGTGTGTCACGGTAGTTTTGATTTGCATTTTTCTAATGTCTAAAAATGTTGAGCATCTTTTTATGTGCTTATTGAATATTTGTTGATCTTCTTTGGAGAAATGTCTATTCAGCTGTTTTCCTTGCTTTTTAATTGGGTCATTTATCTTCTTCTTATTGAGTTTTAAGAGTTCTTTATATATTCTCTATACAAGTAAACGTCCTTTATCAGATATATGACATGCAAATGTTTCCCTTCCTTTTTATGAGGTTTTTTTCCCCCACATTCTTTATAGAGTCCTTTGAAGCATAAAAATGTTTAGTTTTGATCTGGTCCAGTTTGTTTGTTTTTAATTTTGTTGTTTGAGCTTTTGGTGTTCTATCTAACAACTTATTGCCCAACCCAAGGTCATGAAGATTTACTATGTTTTCTTCTAATAATTTCATGGTTTTAACTCTTACATTTAGATCTATGATTCATTTTGAATTAATTTTTATAAAGAGCGTGAAGTAAGGGTCTAACTTTACTTTTTTGCATGTGAATATGCAGTAGTATATTCCAGCACCATTTGTTGAAAAGACTATTCTTCCCCCATTGATTGGTCTTGCCACCCTAATGTAAAATCAGTTGACCATAGACATGGGGGCTTATTTCTCAATTCTATGCCATTGATGTCCACACTCATACCATTGCCACATGTCCAATTAATGTAGTTTTGTAGTGAGTTTTGGAATCAGAAAGTGTGAGTCCTCCAGCTTTGTTCTTCCTTTTCAAGATTGTTTTGTCAATTCAAGGTCCCTTGCAATTCCATATGAATTTGAATATTGGCTTTTCCATTTCTACAAAGGAACCAGCCAAGATTTTAATAAAAATTATGTTGAATAGGCTGGGCACAGTGGCTCATGCCTGTAATCCCAGCACTTTGGGAGGCCGAGGCAGGCGGAGCACCTGAGGTCAGGAGTTCGAGAACAGCTTGCCAACATGAAGAAACCCCGTATCTATTAAAAACAGAAAATTAGCTCGGCGTGATGGTTCATGCCTGTAGTCCCAGCTACTTGGAAGGGTGAGGTGGGAGAATTGCCTGAACCTGGGAGGTGGAGGTTGCAGTGAGCCGAGATCACGACATTGTATTCCAGCCTAGGTGACAAGAGTGAAATTCCGTCTCAAAAAAAAAAAAAAAAAATTGTGTTGACTAAAAGTGGTGAGACTGAACATCTTCATCTTCTTGATCTTAGGGAAAAAACACTAATTATTTCAACATTAAGTACGATTATCAGCTGTGAGGTAGTCATAGAAGACCTTTATCAGGTTGAGAAGTTCTCTACTATTCTCTAGTTTGTTGAGTGTTTTTGTCATGAGAAGGTGCTGGATTTTGTCAGTTGCTTTTCATATAGTATTTTTTAAATTAATTTGTAGTATTACATTTCTTGAAACAAATCCCATTTGGTTATGGTATATGATCCTTTTACTATGCTGTTTTATTTTTGTGTTTGCATTCAGAAAGGATATTGGTCTGTTGTTTTCTTTTCTTGTGATGTGTTTTTTTGGTATTATTTATTTGATCTTATTTTGGTATCAGGATAATACTGTCTTCATAGGAGAAGTTGAAAAGTGTTCCCTTTTCTTCTATATTTTGAGAAAGTTTGTAAAGAACTGACATTAATGTTTCTTTGAATGTTTTGCAGAATTTACCAGTGAAGTGATCTGGTCCTGATGTTTTATTTGTGAAAAGTATTTGGTTATCACTTTGATATCTTTATTTATTTACTTGCTCTGTTCAAATTTTGTATTTTTTTCTTGAATCAGGGTCAATATTTAGTGTTTTTTATCTCTGTTTGCATCAGCTCTGAGGTGACCATAGCTGACTTTTATCAGGTTGAGAAAGTACTATTCCTAGTTTGTTGAGTGTTTTTGACATGAGAAGTTGTTGGATTTTGTCAGTTGGTTTTCAAATTGTTTTTTATTTTTTATTTGATTAATCTGTTGTATGACATTTCCTGGAATAAATCCCACTTGGTTATGGTGTACGATCTTTCTGCTATGCTGTTGACATAGTAATTTTATCAGCATACAGTTGTTCATAATATTCCATTATAACCCTTTTTTTATTTCTTTAAGGTCAATAGTGATGTCCCCATTTTTATTTCTGAGTATAGATTTTTTTTTTTTTTTTTGCCTTCTTTTTCTTTGTTTAATTTGGCCTAGTTAAGGCTTGTTAGTTTTGTTGATCTTCTTGAAGAACTGACTTTCACATTTGTTGATTTCCTCTATTGCTTTGCTTTCTCTGTTTCACTTATTCCTGCTCGAATCTTCATTTCTCCCCTTATGCAAGCCTTGGGTTTAGCTTGTTCTGCTTTTCTCTAATTTCTTAAGGTAGAAGGTTGGGCTATTGTTTTGAGATGTTTCTTTCTTTCTTTCTTTCTTTCTTTCTTTCTTTCCTTCTTCTTTCTTTCTTTTAATGTAAGTGTTTATAGCTGTAAGTTTTCGAATGTTGTGGTTTTTGTTTTTTATTTCAAAGTTTTTTTCTTCTTTCTCCGGTGCCTTTTTTTTTTTTTTTAACACATTTTTTTTTTTTTTTCTTTGAGATGGAGTCTCACTCTGTAGGCCAGATTGGAGTGCAGTGGCATAATCTCAGCTCACTGCAACTTCTGCCTCCTGGGTTCAAGTGATTCTCCTGCCTCAGCCTTCCAAGTAGCTGGGATTACAGGCATGTGCCACCATGCCCAGCTAATTTTTGTATTTTTAGTAGAAATAGGGGTTCACTCTGTTGACTGGGCTTGTCTCGAACTCTTGACTTCAGGTGATCCACACACCTCAGCCCCACAAAGTGCTGGGATTACAGGCATGAGCCAGAGCTCCTGGCCAGACATATCAGTTATTTAGGAAAATGTGGTTTCCTGTCTGTTACTGATTTCTAATTTAATTTCATTATGGTTTGAATACATACTTTATGTGATTTTAGTCATTTTACATTTATGGAGACTTGTTCCATAATCTACCATATGCTTTATCCTGGAGAACGTTTCATGTGCACTTGAGAAGAATGCCTATTCTGTTGTTGGATGGGATAGTCCTTAGATGCTGGCTTAGTCTATTCGGTTTATAGTGTTCTTCAAGTCTCCTATTTTCTTGTGGTTCTTCTGCCTAGTGTTTTATTAATTAGGGAAAATGTGGTATCAAAGTTTCCAACTTCTATTGTGAAATTGCCTTTTCTTCTCTTCAATTCTGTCAGTTTTCCTTTCTGTATTTTGGTGTGCTATTGTTAAGTGTATGTATGGTTACAGGTTTTATATCTTCCCAGTGGGTTAATCTTATGTCACCATGAAAATTCCTCTTTATTGCTAGTCACATTAAAAAAATCTATTTTATCTGATATAGGCATCACCAACTCCAGTTCTTTTTTATAACCTGTTTGGTATACCTCTTTTTTTGGTCCTTTTACTTTCAACCTATTTGGGTCTAGTGGAGAGTTCTTATACTACCTTAGATTAGGGATTCACATTACATTATCATCATTAGTACTATTATTTGACATCTGTTTTACTGACTAGCTACTGCTGATAGGTTTTTTTTCTTCAATCATTCTGAGACTCTGTATTGAGTAATGTTAGTATATCATCGTGCAGAGTTAAAGGCATATAGGGATTGTTTTCTGAACGGCAATGTTGATTAAAGCCATGTGAATGTATAAAAGTCTTAGAGGAGCTGACATCAAATCAAGGTGAAGCTGAGGTTTGAGCCTTACCTAAGGGCTGATATTTTCAACTCTAAATGGGGACAGTACCGTAGCACTGCTGCAGTACCTTCTGTGAACGCTACTCTAGCAACTCAGGAGCTTCTTCATGACAGCTGAACATCAACCACGTGATGGTAAATGCATACCTGAGTATGCCTGGCATCCTACCTCCTCCTCCTCCTCCTTGAGTGACTCTGGAAAGCAAATAGGATATAACAATAGCAGTGCTGGAATGTTCCTGTGTGAGGCTGACCTTTGTATTGCTGTTAATCCTCTACTTTCAGATACGAAAAAGATTAAGTTAAAAATGGATGAAAGTCTTTTCTGGGCCACAGGGCTGAGCTGCTATTGCTCTTTGCAAATCCAAAGTAATTAACAGCATTCTCCCTTTCTCAACTTCCTGTCCCCCGCCCTGACCTTCGCACTTTCCCAATATTATAAAAAAGCAGGAAGTTTTCCTTTCGGGTTTTTTTAAATGATGACATGATGGGGCAAGTTGATCAATGGGAAAACCCCATCTGCAAACCTACCTTCTGTATACATTCTCAATGTTTAGTATAAATAGAGGCATCCCAGGCTCCTATCAGAACATAAGAGCACTCCCAAAGCACTGGGTACTCAGCACCGAGCAGATCTGTTCTCTGAACTAAAAATCATGTGCTGTATCAAGAGTTTGTTCCTGGCTGCTTTGATGTCAATGCTGCTACTCCACCTCTGCGGCAAATCAGAAGGTAAGTGTCATTCTTTCTGCTAGCACAGGAGAAAGAACTATTTTCATTTTCCTTTCAACCTTGAGCTCCACTGGGGGTCCCTAAAGGATGGAAAACTGTTAGAAAGTATATAAGAGGTCATGGTGGAAGTTGTCAGTTCACTGTTGAGTGGAGGAGAGAAAGGTTACTGCTGCGGATCAGGCCTTCTGCTCTGCTGTCAATCTCAGAAGATTTGGGGACCAGTGGGCTCTTAGAGACCCCTAAACTTCGGGACAAAGCCAAAGTGCTGTTTCTGGGAGTGATATACAGTGTTAAAGTTACCAGTAGATGGGGTCATTTTGAAATGTAGAGAATACTCCCACGTCCCCAGCTTTCTTACTTCCCAACAAAATAGCTTTAGTAAAGTTCAAAACTCATCCTTTAGAAGTAGATTATAATGCCTAACAGCAATATCCCCACAAGGCCTTGGGAACATTGCTTGCCAACTTTGAGATAACGCTAATCCCTTATCTTACAGCATGTTGTAATCTAACTCAGGGGAGTGTCCAAGTATTGTTTATTGCTCAATAGTCACACATCACTTTTAGCAACAGGTGCATTCCTGAAAATGCACGTTGATTTTTTTTTTTTTTTTTTTTTTTTTTTTGAGACAGGGTCTTGCTTTGTCACCCAGGCTGAAGTACAGTGGCATGATTACTGCTCACTGCAGCCTCGACCTCCCAGAGTCAAGTGAACCTCCCGTCTCAGCCTCTTGAATAACTGGAACCACAAGCGTGTGCCACATGTCCGGCTAATTTTTAAAAAGTTTTTTGTAGAGACAGGGTTTCACTATGTTGCCCAGGCTGGTCCTGAACTCCTGGACTCAAGCAATCCTTCCTCCTCAGCCTCCCAAAGTGCTGGGATTACAGGCATGAGCCACCATGCCCAATCTATGTTGCAGTTTTACAAACAAAATTAAACATTCCTATTAACTAAGAGGACAACTTCAAAGTCCTTTCACTCCTATAAAGCATATTTTCCTTTTATTGGCCAGATAATAGATTAAAATCTGCCAATTTATTCCTTTGCTGAATTTGGAGGGTTATCTACATAAGAGTTCCTTCAAGCAATAGAGAAGGGGATGCTCATATTCTTGAGCGATTATAATGAACTGAAATGAAATATTGTCAATTTATGTTTCTTACTAAAGATATCCCACTTAAGAGAAGTCATGTATTTCTAAATTGTTTTATTGAACCAAAACTTTCCAGCACAGAAACTTTCAAAGAACTGTAAACTACGTTAAATTGGTTCTCAATGACCTTACAAAGGTTTCAAAGACATTGAAACTCTTCCACAAAGTGGTTTATTCATCATATAAATTAGATTCACTAAATTTTTCACAACTTAAGGTAGTTTTATAATACCAATCACAGGAAAAGTTTATTCATGTGGACCCAATACCTTTCACTTTTTCTTTTCTTAGCAGCAAGCAACTTTGACTGCTGTCTTCGATACACAGATCACATCCTTCATCCTAAATTTATTACGGGTTTCACACGACAGCTGGCCAATGAAGCTTGTGACATCAATGCTATCATGTAAGTTATTAATTGATTTTAATTCAATTGTATCAGGAATACCTAGAAACTTCAGTTTTAAAAATGTTTCCCTTTTTAGAGTTTCATGCAGAAATTACTAATGTTTTGAACATGGGATATTTTAAAAAGAAATAAATGATGTGGTAAAGATAGTTTTGTCTTAGCACATATCTACTTCAAAATTCACTTTAAACAGGACTGGAATAAGGCAAAAACTTGTTTTCTTACTTTTTGGTCAAAAGGAACTAGTATAGGGCAAACATCACTTTCTAAGATAAACTTACAGGCTATTAAAATGATGTGGTAGGAAAATATGAAAGACACATATTTCAAAATGAGCATCTTCTACCAGAAAATGTTTGGGACCAAAAGTAAAAGCTCAGACTAATTATACTATCACATGTAATTTTCGTTTCTTGTTTTTTTTTTTTTTTTAATGGCTCAGTTCCAATGAATATAATTTTCTTGATTTATGTAGAATATTACATTTTGGAAATATACAAGTTATTGATAAGACACATACGTATTCTATGTAACCACCAATAGCAAAATTATATGACAATTCTCGGACTCTCTCTTCCTGCCATTGTACTATTATTTGTTACATTGCAGAGAAAGTCAGGGAGAATCACTCTCATTTTGCATTAATCTTCATCAGGACATATTTTTTTTTTCATTTTATTTTACCTAGTCAGCTGAAATGTTTAGTGTATAATTAACTAGAATATAAAATTTCCATTGTATGTTCTATTAAAAAAAACCATTTAAAAGCTTGTTAAACACAAATCAAATTCTCTGATTTTTCAGCTTTCACACAAAGAAAAAATTATCTGTGTGTGCAAATCCAAGGCAGATCTGGGTGAAACAAGCTGTGCGTATCATCAGGTATGTAACATTGACATTTAGTCTCTCTCCAAATATTGAGGGAAGACAAGTATGCAAAGGGGTGAGCCACAGGTTTTCTGGGATTCTTTAGTCTAACTATTGTGGAATTTTTTAAAGGGGAAATTTGAGTTGGACCACAAAAACAAAGAATGCATTTTTCCACTTATAGATCGTCATTATTATTACTATTTTAAGTTAGTGATTTCTTACATGATGTACTAGATTTCTCTATGCATTTGATAGTTGCTAGCCGTTTGATTCTTGTTGCAAAGATGCCTTCTATTTATGTAACTTAAAGGCAATTCGGCCTGTGGTTGTTTGTTAAAACTGAAACATAAACGTTAGTTAAAAAGAGATCAATGGTTCTGATTTACATTGACAATAATAGAGAGTAACATTTTATTAATGGTCAGAAGACACCTAACACAGGGTGCCATAGACACTGAAGTTGGAGACACAAGATAAATGTTCATATCCTGTTTCTGTCATTAATGAGCTGAGTTAGGTTGGGCAAGGCCCATCCTCTCTAAACCTCAATTTCCTCATCTGAACTCTGAGCTGCTTGACATACTGCATTGAGATTAAAGGCAGATGAAGCAACCTTTAGGTACCAGAGTCATTCCCATCATCCAGTCACCTTGTCATTACTGACACGTTTCTTCATTTTCATTGTACAGCCAAAGAGTCAAGAAGATGTAAAAATTGTGGCCCTTCTGGAATGGAATTGGACATAGCCCAAGAACAGAAAGAACCTTGCTGGGGTTGGAGGTTTCACTTGCACATGATGTCGGGTTTAGTGCTTATCTAATTTGTGCCTCACCGGACTTGTCCAATTAACAAAGTTGATTCATATTGCATCATAGTTTGCTTTGTTTAAGCATCACATTAAAGATAAACTGTATTGTATGTTATTTATAGCTGTAGGTTTTCTGTGTTTAGCTATTTAATGTTAATTTTCCATAAGCTATTTTGGTTTAGTGCAAAGTATAAAATTATGTTGGGGGGGCGAATAAGATTATATGGATTTTTGCAAGCAACAAGCTATTTTTTTTTTATAAAAACTAACATACTTTTGTTTATATTGTTGTAATTACATTATAAAATAAGGAAAATGTTAAGACAAATACTGACAATAAATAAAAAAGTTTTTTTGTTGATTGAGTTATGTGTCATTTTTATGATGTGTATTGGAACCGTTTCAAGGCACAGAAAATATAAGAATTGTTTTAGTTATATTCTTCAGTTACTTCTAGTTGTTCCCTTTATCTCTGTCCCTCATGGCCCTGGACTTGATTTTACATGACTTATAATGGAACAGTTCTTTTTTTTTCTTCTTTAATTAAAAGTCATCCAAACTAAAAGTTGAAAAAGATCCTGTATCTGAGATTCATAACCCAATGTTTGTTGATTTTAAAAAACTTTTTAAAATAAAAAACCATGCCTATACACCTTGTGACTACAGGGACACAACCATTTAGAATATACCTTAAGGAATCACTTCTTCCATCATTCTGTCACCAGCTAGGATCTCAGCATGTGAGCATTTCTCTACTTAAAAGTCCTCCCGAGCCATCTTTAAGCAGTTTGTTTCCGAAAGGAAAATGACTATTCAGAGGGTTCTTAGACAGTGAGTAACTGCTTTGCTAACCAGAGGGGAGTCCCCCAAAAGTGTGAAACCTACTAAGAGCCCAGCAACAGGATGAAAAGACTTGGAACCAGTAGTTAACTATCACTACATTCATGCACCAAGGTTCATAGAGTGCCTCAGATTCCAAAGGACACGCAGGATTGCTGGAGGCAGGCATGCTGATGATAAGATGCAACATCAAGACACATACATCCATGAAGTAGGGTGGGGGTGGGTCATTTGACGTGGAGCCAAAAAAGAGTAAGGGCTTAATCATCCCCGAGGACGTCTTCATCCCCAGGAACAGCAACATTGAATCATCAGGGAAAGTATGCTCACCATCCTGTTTGTTGTCTCACCGCACACAGTTATGCGGCAAGAGGCAGTAATGAGCAAAGCAGATCTTACAACACCTGTTGATAATCACTTTAATAAGGAAAGTCTCAGGGTGCTGTTGGGCATCATTCGTGAGGGCTTCCAGAAGAAGCACTATTCAGTCAAACCATATTAAATAGCCAATATTAATATGGATGTTCTTGACCTGAGAAGAAGGCAGTTGCACAAGATTCAGCCCAATACTTGAGGTATGAAGAACAAGTAGGAAGTAGCCAGTTGGAAAAGGGACAGCAGGAGAGTGTTTGAAAATATCCGGAAGCATATGTGGTTGCCACAATGTCTGAGGGTAGGTACAACAAGCATTCAGTAGGCAGGAGCCAGGGATGCTAAACCCACTGGAATGCACCGGATGGCTCTACACAATGAAGAATTGTTCCACCCCAAATGCCAATCATGCCACCATTGAGCAATACTGGATGAAGAGGCGTATATGCAAGAAGTGGGGGGCAGGGGTGGAGTAGCTGCAAATTAAGTAAAACTGTTACCTCAACTAAGTGTAATGGTTTGGGCTTGACCATCGGGTACTGGGAAGCCACTGTAAATGCCAAAGTAGATGTTGTCTCTGCAAGGCAGAAGAAAAGGAGGTGAGGTGGATGGAAAGCAGAGGTACCAGAGACAGCTGCAATGAGGAGGCTGAGAAATGGTGAAACCTCAGTCAGAGCCACAGCAAAAAGAAAAGTGCAGAAGAGGTGGGATTGTGAAGCCTGGGACTCATACCAGACACCCTCCTCTCCTCCCCATCAGTCACGGTTGGAACAGCAAAGCCAAAGCCAGGCATTGTCAGGGGGCGGCAGATTTGTCTCACTGCTGGAAAGCCTCAGCCCGTGAGCCTTGTAGAGTGAGGCAAGGAGCAAATTTTGTTAGTACTCTGAAGCTGTCTGAATCTTTTGAGGCCAGGATGACTAATAAGTATTAAGCGAGTTTCTGCAGACAGAAATCTCCAGGCTAGAATGCCAATTTATTGATCAACAATGAAAGCATCCAAGTGTCAAGTGTATGGTTGTAAGCACATGGCTAGATTAGAGGAGCAAGCTACCTGAGCAGTCAAATTGGAATCACAAAGCTGGTTTGTTAAGCCTAGGATCAGAGAGCAGGGCCTCAGCTAGGTAATATGAATATTTGATGCACTAGTTTTCACTGGATTAAACATGTTCTTGGATTAGGGATGCCACTCCCAAATCACAACTCTTCTTTTTTTTTCATTTTGGAAAATAGCTTTTCTATCTACTTTTTATTTTTGTTTATTTTTATTTTTATTTTTATTTTGAAACAGAGTTTCGCTGTTGTTACCCAGGCTGGAGTGCAATGGCACGATCTCGGCTCACCGCAACCTCCGCCTCCTGGGTTCAGGCAATTCTCCTGCCTCAGCCTCCTGAGTAGCTGGGATTACAGGCACGTGCCACCATGCCCAGCTAATTTTTTGTATTTTTAGTAGAAACGGGGTTTCACCATGTTGACCGGGATGGTCTCGATCTCTTGACCTCGTGATCCACCCACCTCGGCCTCCCAAAGTGCTGGGATTACAGTCATGAGCCACCGCGCCCGGCCCCTATCTACTTTTTAGTTGAAGTATAATTTACATTCAGTAAGATAACACCTTTTTTTTTTTTTTTTTTTTTTTTTTTGATATGGAGTCTTGCTCCGTCAGCCAGGTTGGAGGCAGTGGCATGATCTTGGCTCACTGCAACCTCCGCCTCCCAGCTTCAAGCAATTATTCTGTTTCGGCCTCCCAAGTAGATGGGATTACAGGCACCTACCACCACGCCTGGCTAATTTTTGTATTTTTAGTAGAGACAGAGTTTCTCCATGTTGGCCAGGCTGGTCTCTAACTGCTGACCTCGTGATCTGCCTGCCTCGGCCTCCCAAAGTGTTGGGATTATAAGCAAAAGCCACCGCCTCCGGCCTAGATACACAAATCCTAACTGTGCAGCTAAGTACATTTTGCATATGCACCTACTTGTGAAAAACCCTGACTCCTTCAAGTCAGTAAATATTTTCTACACCGCAGAGGAAGGCTGTCTCATGTTACCTTTCATTTGTACAACCAAGGTTAACAGCTGTTCTGGCCTATAGATTAATTTGCCTTTTCTTGATTTTATATATATGGAACTATCCAATATATACTCTTTGGTTTTTGGCTTCTTTTACTAGAATCTTCTGTCTTTTAACTTATTTTTAATGACATATATAGTTCATGAATTCAGTCTCATTCTTAGGTTCAAGCAACAGTGATATACTAAAGATCTCCTTTAAACTTTCATCAAGCCCCTTGACTCTTAGAAGTAACACCACAGGATGCCTTTGCTCTCTCCTGGGCTAAGAAGCCCTTTCTGTTTGTACAGTCTTCTGGAGAACCACCGCTAATTTATGTAAGAGTCTAGTCCTGCTTCCTAAATACACGCTAACCATCTGAATCTTTCTGAGGTTTTCAGTCATATGTTTTCCAAAAGTCTCTTGTGTAAGACTGCTGATGTCTGGCCATAGCTATAGGCCCTATGTGTGACTTTGACTTGCTGCATTCTCAGAGTTGTCTCCACGTTCTTCAGTGCCTCCCTGGTGCTTTCCATTAGTGCTGTCTTAAGAGATAAGTAAGATAAGGATGGAATAATGTCTTGCCCCTGGCAATCTGTAGGTCATTGGTAATTGTAGAAGTATTCAGTGAGGTAGCGTAGGAGAATTCCAATGACAGTGGGTTGAAGAATGAATGGTGATAAGTAGTTTGGCAATGAAGGTAAGGGAAAATAAAATCTTTAGATGGAAACGTATTGAAAGAGTCAGAGAAAGGGGGGGTGGGGAGAGAGAGAGAGAGAGAGAGAGAGAGAGAGAGAGAGAATGAGAGAGAGATTGTAGATATTATAAAGAGTTGAAGATTCTGAAAGAGTAATGAATGGAAACTGAACTTCCCTCAAGAGGCAGGAGCAGTGGTTTCCAGAACACGGTTCAACTGAGTTATCTCCTCCTTTGGAAAAAATTCACTCAGGAATGAGTGGAAGCAGATGGGGAGAATTTTACAATTTGGGACGGAGAAAGTTGACATACTTTGAATCTGGTGGTCTTGCTTTTCTTGGTGAAAGACTAGTCACCTTTCGAGAGCGATGAGTCAGCTTTGACATGAGAGGAGAAGCTTTGAGATAGTGGAGGACACAGGGGTACACTCAACGTTGTTCCACAGTGTTGGGGCTCACTGAGGTTGTCCATAACTAAGCTGCTGTGATTTCCATTGGCATGCACCAGGTGGCCTGCTGCAGTTTTGGTGTTAAGACACTGCAGCATCAGTGTCTGATGCTCTGCCTCGTGGCTGTTTATTTGCAATCTTCTTGGACATCTGTCTGCTCTGCTTTTCTAGAACATACCATCAAAGTATTAGAGCATTTTAGACTAGCTGGTGACTAGCTGGACTAGTTTAGGCTCAGGCTTTGCATCTACACACAGCACAAGGAGAAGAGGGCAAGAGAGTCAATGATAGAGGTACAGAGAGGGATCAAAGTGATGAACCATGCAGTCTAGACCAGAGACTGGAGATGAAGTCCCACAATGGGGAGGCCCTCAATAAAAGGCCTCAACATGCTCAAAGAGCAGGACAATGGGAGGACAGAAGGGGCTGGAGCAGCTCCAGGAGCCAAAGTCCAAGGGTGTGACTGTGGGTGTACAGCTCAAGTGGTGGAAGAGCGGGGTGATGACCGGCAGGCTACTGGTATAAATTAGTCATTCCCATTGATTTTCCCTCTACTTTTTCCTTTTTCAAAAAAATTAGAGATGGGGGTCTCACTATGTTGCCCAGGCTGTTCTTGAACTCCCAGGCTCAAGCATCCTCCTGCCTTGGCCTCCCAAAGAGCTGGGATTACAGGTGTGAGCCACCATGCCCAGCCTCCCTCCACTTTTTGTTATGGAAAATACAAAAGTGGAGAGAATCATATAAAAAGCCCCATGTATTCATCATCTGGATTCAACTGACTAATGGCTGGTCTTGTTACATCTGTACCACCCAATTCACTTCTTCTCATCTATTCTCCCTGGATTAATTTAAAGCAATTTTTAGACATTAAATTATTCTGTTTATAAGTATACATATATATATGTATAACGTAAGAACTTTTAAAAATACAATTTCACTCACATAGATT